AGAGAGAGGCTGAGGTCACGACGACACCACAGCTGACATAGGTTAGAAAAGGCTACTCTAGCCTTGGAGAAACGCAGACAGATCTCATGCGTCAAACCGCCAACACTAAGACAAATTCTCAAGGTAAATGAATTTGTCTACCACTACCAGCAGATGCCCTGAAGGGGTGGGATGAGATGCACTTGGTCAGTCCTGTAACAGGACCTCAAATGTGAAAGGGGGGTAAAGGTGAACTCAAATCGGGTGGGGTACATTCCTGACCTAAGCAGCACATGCTGGGTGTCCTAGGAGAACTCACAAACCATAGCGATATCCTCTGCGTACTTCAAATCCCGAAGGCAGACACCCGGAAGCAGTTCCATGCCTCAAGACGCAGAGTTTTCCAGAGCAGTCGCCAAGATCTCATTCATGGCGAAATCGAACAAGAAGGGAGTGGCTGGGCAACCCTGTTTAATACCACTAGTGATACTGAAGGGTGGGGGAGAAAAACCTGCGTATAATCGCATGCGACCCGAGGTTTGACAATAAATGGGACGTGAATGCTGGTGTACTTCTCAGGCACACCCCACTTCAGCAAGCAGTTCCAAAGAGCCACTCTGCTAACAGTCAAACGCGGCTAGAATGTCCAAGTATGAAACTATGGCCGGATGACTGAACGTATGGCGGTGTTCAAGCATCTGGCGGACCGTAAAGATGCGATCGACACAACTGCGACTAGGGGAAAACCCAGCTAGCTCCTCCTACAAGTGTTTTACCTGTACGCAACATAGCCTCCGGGAGAATAGGGCAGCGAGCAGTTTAGATGCAACACAAATGAGACTGATCGCACGATGGTTGGAGAAAACGGTCTGGTCGCTGTTTCTGTGGACAACTACGATGTCCGTTAATCTCCAGTCGGATGGGATGGCTTCGTTAGTCCGAAAATGATGGAAAAGTGATGTTGATTCACGGATGATATCGAAACCTGCTTATTTTGAGAGGGTCAGAGGAATTTCATCTGTTCCAAGTGACTTGTGGCGCTGTAGCCAGCTAAGCTCATTGGAAACCTCAGCATCAGTTGGTGAAGGAACATAAACGCACCAGGAAGTACTGTGTATCTCAGACGATGCCCTCGGTTGTGCTGGTGACCAGCTGAACTGATCTTCGAAGAACTCTGCCCAGCGTAGCAGACGATGGTGAATTACTTTGTCGTCGTTTTCACGCAACGACACACTTACTGTTGTGAACGAGATCTCAATGACTTCATTAATAGCGAAGTAGAGGAGGAAAGGTGACAGCGGGCATGCTTGTCTTACACCGCCAGGTACATTGAAGGGCAGCGACAGCTTGCCGTAGACCCTCACTCTGTCCGCGTAAAGCGTCTGCAATTTACACATTCCTCGGGCACATCTTACCTGAGTAGAAAATCCCAAAGAGCACATCGATCAACCGAATCGAAGGCACCTTTGATGTCGCGAAACACAACGGTGGACCGCCAATATATGTGACAATGCTTTAATAATTGATGCAAAGTGAAGATGTGATCGATGCATCCCCGAGCACGAGGAAACGCGGACTGCTCCTCAAGAAGCTGTCATTCACGAGTGCCGGACAGTCAGTGAAGGATGACGGAAGTAAGCAATTTAGAGGCGAGAGAATTCAGACTGATTCCTTTATGGTGGCCGCATTCCGAACGTGAGCCTCCCTTGAAAAGTGGGACTATAACGCAGTGGCTGCAGTCGGTTGTGACAGTTTGCTGCTCCGACACTTTCACTAGGAACTCGTGTAAATCAGCAGCAATAGCAAGGTCCCCGAATTTGAAGAGGGCTGGATGATGATCATCTGGTAAAACCGACGATGGTGTATAGACAAGAGACGTTGGTAATGCAAGTCGAGAAAATCAGTTGATACTCTGGCTTTGATCCCTATCACTTGCGTTCAGAAGAATTCAGAGACGCATAAATGGATAGACTAGTAACTCCGCGTCGCCTGCGACTACCAGCCTCTTGATCGGCCGCACATGTTGGCATGGTCTATGGTACGGGAATGCGTTTGTGTTTGGGTGAGGTCCCGCAGTGATAAGGTAACAAAGTGTCGACTGAATGGACTACTTTTTCGTTAGATAAGACCTGCAGTATTTGTGGTTTGAATGCTATTTTATGTGACGCACTTGAGAAGCCAATCGTAACTTGTATTCACTCTGGTTTGCGTTTGTTCTCCGAGCTGATGAATTGTGCTGCAGACGTTTCGTCACCAGCCGAGGTGACATCCTCAGTGCCTCACTGCTTAGCGTGCAGCTCTTCCATCCAATTCCAATGTTTAGCTCTAATAGGACGATTATGTCATCTTAAACCCCCTCTTAGATAGTCGGCTTCCCTGCCTTAGTGTCCAAGATAACCATAGTGATTTAATCGACAACACATTAGTAGTTGGAGTGTAGTTGAGCACCGAGATGAGGAGTCTGCAATCGAATGCGGACACAACTGAGTCACAGATATCTGCGGGAAGCCTATACATCATCCGGATCCGTGGTGGCATAAATGGAGAAGACAAGGCAAAAGGGAACAGACTAAACGATCGACGTCGTAGGATAGGCAAACAGTGGCGAATGGATAGCAGGCGAGCATTGACCAAGTTTTCTAGATGAAGAACACTTATCTGACTGTGGGTCGGCCCGCAGCCTAGAGGTAACGAGCGTGTAATCATGCGGCGCAGGTTCGAATCCACGTAGGGGTGGGCGTCCTCGCAGTATACTCAGCCCGCGTGCGAGTAGTGGTGGTCGCACAGCAGCGAAGTGCCGTTACGGTGCGCAGCTGACATTATTATTTGGTATTTATCTGATTGTGAAGTACAAACCACATTGAGACAGTAGTGTAAATCGAAGAGGGAAGGGTAGATTGAGTACTGACACAAAACAAGCGAGTGCAATCAGTGGACGCTAATAGAAAGCGCAGAAGGGAATCGGAAAAAAGCACTGGTTAAGAGAGTGAGATGGCAGCCGACGGAGAATTAGATCGCAGTACTGAAAAGTGATTATCATCAACAAAGAAAAGGTAAAACTAAGTGACTGGAGGATATGGTGAAAAAGTTGTCCTGTTTGTCAAAGAGCACTGGATGAGAGAAATATTAAACCGGAAAAAAACGAAAACGGATTTATTACGTAAATAAGGAAAAGATACCAGCAGTACGCCGAGTATGCCGCACTGACGATTCGTTGCCAACTGAGCCTCAGTAGTTCTGTGAGAAGTCGTGGAAACGGCGTTTTCCAGGCACGATTTAGGTGTGGAGCTGCTCCAAAGTGAACGACTTCTCGACCTGGTATGTCGACGACATGGCGCTCATCCGTGACAGTCCTCGAACATGCCAAGGTGCACTGTGTAAATTAGCTCTGACTGTCAGTCGTTTCGGACTATGCTTTGCATCATCGAAATGCAAAGTTCTTATACAAGATTGGCAGGGACGCATCCCTGCACGGACTCTTGGGGGTGAAAATGCAGAAGTAGTCGAGAAATTCAAGTACCTGGGCAGCTGTATCAGCACCAGGGGAACGGAAGATGACATCAGGAACCGTAAAGCATAAGTTCATCGAGCTTTTGCTAATCTCCGCCATCTGTGGCGCCGGAATGACATTACTCTCGCTCTGAAGGGCAGAGTATACAATGTAGTCGTCTGTTTGACCCTCCTAAACGGTTGCTAAACTTGGCCCATCAATTCGAGACGTTCAATCATCGCTGCCTTCGCGGTTTAACTCATGTCTGGTGGGAGCATCGCGTGAGCAATGAGCGTGTTCGGCGTCGCGTATTTAGTGCAGGAAGGGAGTGAACCGCGCAGCACCACTATATCACGCACCGGGCTCCGATGGCTAAGCCATGTTCTGCGCATGCCAGCCCAGCGACTCGCGTGACGTGCGTTGTCTACGCGCCGGGGGTGTGAATGGAGGAAGAGGAGAGGAGGTCAAACGATGACTTGGTTGAGAAGAATGAGAACCCTCACTTCGAAGTTGGCGTCGGTTGGTATTTTCCGACTACCTGGCTGGGGACTGAAGGATGATGAACAAGTTAGGTTGGATACACTAGATGACATGGCGAAGAGTCGATCTCAGTGGTGTTTGTGTTGTGAGTCCCTTTGTCCTTCTCCTTCCCTTTAGCTTACTCTGCCAACAACCATCAAAAATGTGATATCAGCATTATGTTAGTTTTTCATAGCTTTTAAGTCTACATTAGTTAATGCCTTACTTTTGTATTGCAGCACATTAGCTGAGGTGTGTTTCTCACCCCTCGCCTATCGTGTATTAATGATTGATGATGATGCGAGCTAGGGATGCTGCGAAGCCGCCCTATAAAAATCGGCCACTGATCAACATTTGACAAAACAATCTCGTGATGTGGATCCGAATACCAGACTTTTGGACAGATAACCGGATTAGAGTTCGAATATTGGAAGCATAGAAAGTGGAAATAAACAATACAAGGGTGTTAGAAAAAGAACGTGAAAGTATGGTAACCGAAACTAAAGGATATGATTTTCTAGAGCAGTTGGGCAACGATGTGTGTTGTCATTCCCGTAGAGTACACAGAAAATAGAGCAATGCAAGCAAAGTACTCTAGTGATACGATCCATCTTAGTCCAAAAGACTTGGCATGACGAAATATAAAACAATTTGTACCTATAAAATGAGGATGCTCTATTCAGTACTTAACGGTGCTGCCAGAAGTTAACTGACACTCGCATTCAGGGAACATATGGTAGCGAGACGGAATCGGTCGTCAGACACATTGGCGCAGAAGTCAACTAGAGATTGGGTGAAGAAAAATGTGACCAAGGATAGAACCTCCGAGTTCGTTGGTTTCGTTAGACGTATTATGGCAATTAGCCAACAGAAAAAATCCAACGACGGAGACAATTTAATAAAAGGCACTTCACAGTATGACACGACAAATTCACCACTCCCGACTTGGAGCGCAGGTAGGGCAGAAAGATCAACATGCGAAAAAACAACAACCGGAAACACCAAATCGTACCTGTTTCACAAATGATTCCAGACTATCAAAGTTGTTGGTACGCATGGCAGAGGTGACCGCACAGAAATTGATGACACGACGATTGAGTAGTTTGGAGTGGCTTTCGGAAACCGGTGTGAACCAGAGATTGTGAAACAAATCGATGACAAGTTTCTACAAACGGAAAGAGAAATATGCTGTGAAGCACGTGGTCAAATGCAATCACACGATGACGACTGATGACAACTTGAAAGTGACAGAGTTCGTATGTCTAACCTCAGTCCTGGCAGCGTACTGTCGTTGAAACAAAGTCAATCAGTGACAAACGCTTTGTGGAAACTGGGAACAGCTGCATCATGCGAAAGAAGATGCAGTAGGCGTAGTCTCAAAGATAAAAACTCAGTTGGATCACGTGAAAACGAAGTATTGTAATGAATACTAAATGGCATCAGCAGTACGCTGGTTCGCAGTCCCGATGCTTCGCTGCCGCATAACAACTACCAGTCACATGTGGTCTAAGAATACTGCGAGGGTGCCCGATCCCCTAGGCAAGATTGAACCCAAGCCCTCGGAGCACAAGGTAGGCTTGTGATCTTTAAGGCTACAGACCGGCACAGAGATATGACAAACTGACAACGATTGTGGAGCGAGCTGAGGCTGGTATAGCGGTTGCGTTGGAACAAGCTGCAGCAGAACTCGATTCCAGTTGCCTAAACTTATGTTCGAACTTGGAACAGAATGGCCAAAACAAGTGTCTAGTTAACAGCGTAGAGACAGCTACCCCAACCAAGGCAAGTAGCAAACAGGCGGGCGACCATAGTATGCCAATCTTCGCAGCCCCAATCCCACAGAGAGTGGTTTTTCGCATGAGCGTGTCTGTGTTACATGATACTCCATTGCATTCGGGTTTGTCTAATACTACCGTAAGTCTGACAACATAGGCATCGGTTTTCGCTGCAAGCAGACCCAAAAACGGAGCGGTCGTGACAGAAATAACGAGAATATCGATGCCTCTTCAAGAAGGCCGCCTACCACGCTGCCATAAAAAAGGAAAAATTCTCTTATCCAAAATTGAAATGAGTGCAATGCAGAGACAAAGTTTAGGAAAACATGCTGTGACATGGCGTATTAGCAGGCAGAGGCAGTCACTAGACAAAGACATGTTGTTTAAGAGTAGTGAGGAGGTTGATGTAGAGCTACAGAATATTTGTTGCAGTCAGTCGAGAGTCAGACATTCCCGCACACCCATCAGAAAAGCTCTAAACGGTCGGTTTGTCCCACCGAGAGTCGCCCGCAGAGTGCACTCCCGATACAAGACCCGGGCGATTGGAAGTCTGTGATTAGCACTACCCTACAGTGGATTACAAAAAATCCAGGTATTTGTGCTAATCGCGGTACTCTACCCTTATGAGACGGTAAGTATCGGCATCGAATAAATTGCAATGGGCGAGATGGAACGAAGTACTAGCGCCAATGCTTGAGCAATTTCGCTTGTGTCTAATTCCGATCACCCTACTTCCGCTATGAAGTGCCCGCATTCCATCAGTGCTTCAATGTTGCAGTCGATGTACGCACCAATATGATTAGATCTTTGAGCGAAGAAAGGACCAGTGGAGTAAATTCGAGATGCAAGTTTACGACGGTCCAGTGGTGCTTTCAAATAGGAGATAAAGGTCCACACGTAGAATAAGCCCCAACGGCGTCCATACTCTGAACCGCACAGGGAGATAAATGGCGTCATCAGCTGTGAACAGTCACAGAACGCTCGTGAGTGCAGAGGAGCCATGGACAGCCAAGAATGCGGGGAAGTATGCCTACCAGGAGTACACATGGCAGTGATGAAGGTAGACATTTTATAATGGAGATTGTAGTAGGTTAGAATGGAACAGTGCAACAGCATTAAGGCTAGGACAATACACAAAAGTGAGCGCAAGCAGGTGATTGGTTAGCGGAACAGTCATGATCAATCTGTTCAAATCGATCACAACAGAGTGAGTGTGGGGAATGAGAAATGTGCAGAGTCAATAAGTCAAGGAGAGGCTAAGGAACAATGTAGAGTGAACGAATGTCAACCTAGTCCCTGTTGTGCACCGTCGGAAGAATGTAGGAGGATGGTAACACGATGAACCACAGAGTGACACTCAGGAAGAGTGCGCGGTCAGTCTAGGTGGGAATGTGTACGACGCGAAAAGACGAACTAGTGGTTACAGCGACGATGATACACGTTAAATGCAAACACGGAGGTATACTCGGATCAAAGCATGTGGTCGGCACCTGATTAGACTGATCAGTGAGGTCCAGCCAACAATCACTGCTTCGGCTGGTGCGTTAAGCCAGAGTTAATTAGCCGCGTGTACTACCTTAAGTTGTAATTATAAAGACACCATAAACTGGTCATTGTTAGCGGCGGGGACTCACAGACGAGTAAAATAAGAGAAACAAGAAGCCAAATGGAATTAAGCCACCAGCACTTAAATACGATGTTGTTTTACAAAACCACATCGTGGATTCATTTCGCGGCTTGGAATTGAAGTAATGAGGAACGGAGCGACCGCTTTAAGATTAATCTGAAAGAGAAATGGAGAGAAGAAAAGGAAAGAGAAGAAAGGGCAGTCGTGATGGGATTCTGCGGACGGGCAAACCATTTCGATTGCTCGCCTCGAGGGGATCCCGGCAGAAGTTCCCGCCAGTAACCCACGAATCACTGGTCCGACCCACATGCTTTTTGGGAGCAGGTCTAACCTAGCATCATGACTAGAGTCTGCTGGGGGCGACCACACGCAGCCTTGAGTGATTTAGAACAAGCCACGCCTGCTTTTTGACTGTAGCAACATGTGGCTCGACAGAGTGTCATGCGATGCGACTGTGAATATGGTTGACCCATGGTGAAGGTGTAAGGTACCCAACAGACTACTGGTAGCATGTATTGGTAGACAGTAGCAACTAATGAGCAACATATTCGCCGCCAAGGCTATATGCCAATCGAACTGAACCCATAACCCGAATCCCCATGAAGACACTGAGACAACATGCCTGACCTCTAGCTACCGATATGCGTACATGGTTGACACTGACGCTAGTTGAGAAGTCTCCTTGCGCAGCCATTGTTCCATCTCGCGGTGAATGTCATCTTGTCACTTCCTCGTAGCATATAAGGTTGGAGGCGCATACATACTGGTGGTTAGCGGAAGAATGACAGCCAGTGAACCTAGTTAATTCCAGAGTTGAAAAACTTCTACATGAGTACGCAAGGGAAAGAAGCTACTAAGCGTCTTCTACATCGCGTAACCGTCGATTTTAGGTCCGGAGCTAGGCGCGATTCAAGAAAGCTGAGTGAAGTCAGTGGGGCTATAAGGAACGTTACATGAGTCAATCAGTCTATTATGTGAAGGATAAAAGCAGATGACAACGTTGTGACGACCAACCTATTCGAATCACATACGAACCCGAAAACCAAGGAAATAAGAGTCGGAGTGCCTGTTCGAGAGAATCCGTATGATGCCACTTAGACGCTGATGGTTTTGGGTCGATCGTTGGTCATAAAGTTAGGTTTGAGACTAATATATACGGTGCCGAGCTCACTACTACAGGTAATGAAGCCTTCAGATGCCTTGCCTAACGAGTATGAGGAAACGATACTAGAAGTTCCGCAAGAGAACTGTGCAAAGAATGGTTTGATTCCTGACTCCTGAAAGTACGTCCAAAAAGGAGCCGGGGGAGAGTAAAACTTGTGAACCGTCCATGCTCAGCAGCTTGCAGTTTTCGCAGCAACACTGAGACTTCGATAAACCGTGGAAATGCCCAAGCAGCTGACCACGTGCGCACAAACCATTTAGGACAAAACTCGAGGGTCCTGCTAATATGAAAATCGAACTTAACAATCTAAGCCATCCCTGCGTTCAGTGAAGAAAACGGGAGGACATGTGAATTGGCCACAGTCTCAAAAACAGAGTTACGACCAGCCTCCGTCGTGCTTTTGCTGCCGATGTCTCGTTGCCGGTTTCCAAAAACTATGAAGAGCTTGAATACCTCGCCTACAGTCGTTGCAAAACGAGATAAATATGCGGGGGCATGTGGAATTTTTGGATTCCAAACGGCTTTTGAGACGTTGGTTCAGTTGTTTAACGATTAGCAGCAGATGATTCCGAGCAGGGTTGATTACTAATCGACGAGATTGATTGACGAAATAATTAGATCAAGAGAGCCGGGTTTTCACACGATATAAAGGTCATCAATCGATGTGTCAAAGGTTGAAAACACCTCTCTGTCTGAATTCCATTACCGAGGAATGCACATTATTGGTAGTAGTGCAGGCTTGAAGTAACGGTGTTGATAGACCAAGTTTGTACCCCTTAGTGAGAATACCAAACAGGCAGAATGGTTCGTCGTCTAAAGATTCCATTGAAGCGCGTTTCAATCAGTTTGAGAGGAAGAAGGAATCAACGCTGAAGACCGACCAAAGAGACGGAGGTTTCGAGTTATAGAAGTGTAAAAGCAAGAAATCCACAACGGTGTTCACGTGCATAGGGGGTGAAGGTAGAAACAAATAAACGCGTTGGATTATTGCAGCAATAAAATATAGACTGAGTGTCGGGAGGAGAACTAAGTTCGCGACGACTCGCGAGATTGATGTATAGCAAGGGGATTGTTAATATTGGGAAACACATAGTGCTATTATAAATGATAGAATAGGGTAACTACGTGGAAGGTGCCTGGTGGATTGTCGGTCAAGTGAAGCCAAGTGGTAGTAGGCTGGATTGACGAAACCGTTTCGACTATCAAGCACTGTGATGGGATAAATGAACCGTAGCACGTTCGCTCTTAAAACAAACGATGTTTGCACTCGATAAAGAAGCGTGTAAACCCGTCGGGTGACAACAGCGTCAGAACAGAAACCAGAAGTGAGAAAAAAGTGGTCAATGTACCTTGATTGATTCTTCGTCATCATGAAGACGTCGAATCAGTTTCAAACACATTTCCACTCCAAACTGGCGAGTAAGGAGGATGCTTCGTTTGGGCGAACGCTCCTGTGATTCAGATGGCTCTCCGGACCAATCCACAAGCAACAAGTCACGAAAACAGCGAATAACACGCTTTCGCACACTAACACCTTTATCCAAAATGCGTTCAGCAAGCATTGGGTAATATTCGGATAGCATTCGTGGACGTGCGACCAGGATGCGGCTGACCAAATCGACCGCTGCTTCCCGAACAGCAGTTGAGTTGTCTAGAAGCCGTGGATGCACTAGTTTTGGTAAATCACGAAGCCAAACAGATGCGTGGGCGCTTGGTTGACTGCGGTCGGAGGAGTCACCAGTTGTGGAGAACAAATTCGGATCCAGCTCCACAATAGAGGCCAAACAGCGAAGGGCCTTTGTCCGGACTGGAACGGAGGATTCGCTAACAAGCTATGGAAATAATAGCATAAGAGGTATAACAAAAGGAACGTATAGTAAAGGAAACGTATAGTAAAGGGATGGAAGAAAGTAGTGGTAAGTTCCCGGAGTCGTAAAGACGCATGGGAGTGAAAGTCCCTGAGATGAAATTTGCAATGTGGAGGAAATAGAACTGAGCGAACTAACGATGGTGATTCATACGGGCAAATTGACGTTAAGAATGGGGCAAAAGACAACAGTAAAGAAGAAGAATCCCGTCGTGGGCTTACTCGAACGATTACGCCGAGGAGTTTTTCAAAACGGGGCATACTAGGGTAAACTGACGACAGCTTCCCCAAAGACCAAAACGCGTGCGCTGCCAGCAACAGACGATAGTGTGCATCCAAATGGCGCGTGTGTGCATAACTGACAAATCTCTGCACATCGACACGGTCAGCCAGGATCGATCCACCATAACAAAGAAACTTGTTAGCTGCGGGGCAGCTCGCAGTGCCGACAGATTGTAACTGCGAAACGGAACCTCCTCGACTGCTGCGACCACTACAAGTGGGACTGCTCAAGGAACTACTGCCCACAACTGCACCAGGCTGCTTTGAGCCGGTTAACCAAGGAAGGGAGGATAGCGACACGGTGTGTGTGAGAGCCAGCTCGGACAGAAACTGGTGTCGCAACTTTTCCAATTCGTGTACACGCTTCGATGACTTGGGGTGGGAAGCGATTGCGTTGGATGAATCCCCTCCAGCACCATCAGAGGTCGTTTCGCTAAGTTCACGGTTGCAATAGTACAGCCAGGAAGCAAGGAAAAATCGTCGGGTACTCTGAAACGGAGAATGGAATGCCGAGGGTGGTTCGCTTATACGCATATATGGCAAATGGTAGGGGCATTAGTGGTAGAGAGCAGTACAATATCACCGGAAATACAACCTGCTAGGTAATATACATATTACGACCAACAACGGTCTAAGCATCTGCGTGCCAGGCATGAGTGAACTTTATTGAGTGATAAAATGAGGACAGATGGATCACTATCATTTACATTGACGAAAATGAAAAAATGGGAGGAGCGGGATTATAAAACGTCCCGTAGAACGACAAAATCAGCTCACAGAAGTTGTGTGTTTGGAAAATTGAGTACCACAACAGCCGAAATATCCAGTCGAAGAAGTATGAGATGGCAACTGTGAAGTTGAGGCATTGGTGTGACAGTAGGTTTAAGGAAAACGAGGCTAGAATTTAATTCGGAGCATGATAAGGCGGCTGTCGCGCTGTGTATTTCATCAGCAGCACTGAATATAAGGGGTATATCGAGGTGATCGGCGGGGCTGCGTGCGAAGCGAAGTGATCCAGAGCCGATTCGAAATGGAACGACCACTGTCCGCAATATCATGCGGTCACGGTACACTTGCAAAGGGTAAAATACCTACGTCTGAACAACGATATCGTGAAAACATCAGATCTAGGCTAACGACTGGATAACAGTCTACAAGCGAAGTATTGACGCATATGCATTGTGGACCGAACATACCGTTCCGAACAGTAGTGTATCTATTCATTTGATGGTTTTGGCTAGGCTGATCGGACTGCCGAACCCAATGAGCCCAACGAAGATACTTTGAAGTCAACGAAAAGGAATACAACTAGTTCGCGAGCAAGTTCCAATCAGAGTGCTGTTCACAACCTAGAACAAACGCCCAGAGAACACGAATGCTAAGTTAGCAGGTCCCCAGGAGTCAGTTCCACGGATAGCCGTATTAATTCTATTGTGCTTTTTTCAATAACCACTTTCACCCTGCTTTTAAACTCTCCTTCTTTGTACCATTTTCACCAATTGAACTCCCAATAAAGCCGATTTTGAATTCTTCCGGAAAATCTGAAATAACCTGCGCACTTTGAGATCATGTTGCACCAGATGATCAGTCCAAGTAGTTGAACTGTAACTCGCACAGTCGAGAAATATACATTCTCATATGTAAGGTGGCTATCTTCCAAAACCGGTTTGTTTGCGCCACGGGGAAGCCAGATACTGTAAAGTTGTAGTAACCGAGAGCGAAAGACATGAACAAATTGAAATGTTCCTAAGAAATGGCGATACTTAGTAGTACGCCATTTTTCGCTCGCAGTTATTAGTATGTTGTCCCAGAAAACATGTTGGTTACTTGGATCGTTTGCACATTTCGTATAGGCCTGCAAAAATAAGCCACATCAATCGACACAGAACAGGGATCACTGAGTCGTAAAGAAGGCTAACTGGTTGCATGCAAATGTTATTTTGGATTGGTTAAAGAAGTCGCTTCTCAACGCAATGATCACTATAGGAGTAATATTTATAGGAAATGTGACATCACATGGGGAGACAAGACATTAAACCGCGGGGACCGAACGCATTGAACTAGAGTCGGCGACCATGGAATAGAGATATGTGGGAGTTGGATTCGCCACCACATGTAAGTAAGCAAATCGGAGAACGATAGGCTTAAAGTATACACTGCGTTAGAACCACGGACTAGCGGTACCGTCTATCGCAGGGCGAAGAGAGCAGCATTCATGTTCATATGTATGCGACAGAGGCGCACGTCCGCACGCCCGTTTGTCCTAACCAATATGCGTTGCAGATAGAGCGCTTAACAAAACAAGGCGAGTGATGAAGCTTAACGGCGTTTATAAATACGACATGACGTTTAGAGGTCATTCCGCTTAGCG